ATTGTTAACATCATTTAAGTGAAGTTATTCCAGATATTTGGACCAATTAATCAATTGCTCATTTTGAAGATTGAAAGACAAATGAAATTTGGTTGTATTTTGACGTATAACAATATGACGAAGTGCATAAGATCGGAAAGCGAGTTAATCAAATATTAGGTTTTAGATCGCAGCTCTTAGGCATCCTTTTCCGCGTTAAGCGGCGTCATCGTCGCCGTCGGCATCGGTGTAACCGCCCCGCTAAATTTAGTGGGAAATTGAATTGGTGCTTGTGTCACGTGACGCCAATTTTCCCACTAAATCTAGCAGTGCAACTAATCTTGTTCATGTTTCCCCGCTAAATTTAGCGGGGAAACACGGACCGTTAGCTTACTGAAGATGCAAAACGCTACTTCGTTGTCGCGAATCCTTTTCCCTTCGAACGACTGCGAAGCCGTTGCAACCGGAGCACTCTACGCAGTATCTTCCAAAAACCGTTCGCGCAGCATCGTAACCTTCCGCTTGCGAGCGTCGGCGATTGTGTTGACATTAGGAAGATGTGCTGTCCGTGGTGTCTTTTATGTTTAGGTCTTTCGTAAAAAAAAAAAATTGAAGTTTAAAAACGCGAACCTAACAGCGTACACATGATTTTCAGTTTATTGGTAAATACACACACACACACACATATATACATATATATGTGTGTGTGTGTGTCTGTATATATATATTTGTGGTCATTGCGCGCACAAAATAGTAGCGCTTAATTTTTCAATTAGAATTATATTTTGGGCTGGACAGCTTCTTTGGAAGGTCAAATGCTGGACTTCATAGAGCTGTTCTGTTCACTCTACTGACAGCAGGGTAAACGCTATGCGTGTTTTAGGCTAATCATGTCTCCGGTCAGGTTCACGTGCCTACAGTCTAGAAGCTGGTGATAAGGCAGAACATAACATCTGCCTCAAGCCCAAGGCCACAGATAGCATTCATTGCACTATCAAGCTTAGGGACAAGTGACAAATCCTCTCGTTGTGGTCATTATTGGGATCAGGGCCAGTTCCTGGTTGGGATGCCCCAGAACCTAATCCTTTTGTGTGTGCACTCCCGTTTTGGCCTTTCCTTCTCTTCTTTTCTCTCTCTCCCTAAGCTGAAGGCGTGGTAGAACGTGCGCCCTTGCCGAACCAATCAGCCGTAGGCTTTTTATCGCTTGACTCCGCTCTACGTGCACGGGAAATGCCAGAAGCGTGGTCGGGTGGTGTGGCGGATGACGCATTAGCCGTTGGCAATCTCGGAATGCATTCTGCCGGACCTAGTTTGGCGTGTGTTGCGCCCTACGTGGCTGCTGCGGATTCTGCTTCTGCAGTAAATTCGAAAAGACCTACCCGTATATCGGCAACAAGCAATTTCTTCAAAGAAGCCCAAGAATTTCTTGTGATGCGCTTAGTGTTCGGTTCTACAAATGGCAGCTTGTGCTACATCGTGTTGAATCTTCACGGACCCCTTGCTTCTCGTTTTTATGTTTGAGTGGCTGTCATGCCCGTGACAACATATATCTCGGATTACACCTTTCAAGTCCGGTATCGTCAACGTGAATGCGCTGCAACCTATTTCGCGACAATCGATCGTTTTCCTACAGGTACTCTTTCAAATTACCTCTAGATTAGACCGTGTCTATCTCCTGGTAGCCGGGAGAATAATTTCTCCGAAATTCTACCAGCAGTATCCTGCCATTGACCGTCTGATATGATGTCACAACTGCAGGTAGAATACTGATATTTTTATTCTCCCTGCGTTTCGTGATAACACATTCCACGGCCACTTTCTCGTGGATACACGTTTCATGGACATACGTTTCGTCGACATTAACGTTTCATCGACATTCGTTAAGCGAATGTCGATAATACTGCTTTCCCTGTGAATTAAGTTGAGCGAAATCAGGAGTGGCTTAATGTGCATCTCATGTAAAAATTAATAAAAGTTGGTACATGCTCAATATTCAATTGGTATTTTTCGTCTACAGATGTGAAGTCACTTTAGGTAGATATTTGTAGAAAACAGCAATATATATAAAGGTTGTCTTATTTTATTGGAACATATCAGGCCTTATATGGAAGGCAGATATACCCCTATTTGGCAGACTCAGATATGGATATAAAAAATTGGGCATATCTGGCGAGATATGCCTTATAATAACCGATGTGCTTTATGTGGTCAAATATGGCCAATTTTTATATGACCATATTATATATATATATATATATGTCCAGATATGGCCATTTTCGTAAGGGAGTACTATAAAAGGGGTAGCGAGGAGACTGGTATTAAAGATCACTGGGATGGCAAGGACGCAAAAAGCACAGAGTGACAGGGCAGTGTGTGTTCCGTTTTCTTCATAATGTGTCCCACAACTTGATGTTTATCGCGAGGAGGTCCCACGCTAAAGTGCTTTTCACGAGGATTCCGGTTCTACACTTCCTTCGACACTCTTGTCATCTGCTTTGAAGTGCATAGAGTTACAGAGTCCGCACACCCGGATCCTCTTCGATGGTGTCGTCGTTGCCGCGACGGTGACCGAGGAACGAAACCCATCGCTTTCTCAGTTCCGTGAGCGTCGGAGGATTAGCAAGTATTTGACGTTACTGCAAAATTCAGAATGTAATGCACACGAGGGCCTTACCGGTGAAACGAGAGCCCCGCGGAAGAACAACCGGTGAGATTATGTAGCCGCTCACACAGCGAAGCCCCGTCACGGCAGCGCGCGACGCTACACACTTTCGTTCCGCCGCCCAGCCGCCCTGAACGCCCTGCCCTGTGCGTCTATCGTACACGCAACCCAACGAAAGAAAAAAAGAATATATGTTTACACGTGACCCGCGCCAGGCCTTTCGGTGTTTGCTAAATCTCGTTGATGTTTACATTCTCCTTGTTTACATTTTTTTCTGACCACGCTTCAAATATTGACGTCATGCCCTGTCCGTGTCTTCTAACCTTCTCGGATAGGGGTTTGCGAGTTCAGTGTGCCAAGGGGACGAAAGCGAGAGTGGAGCACTGATGACAGAAAAAAAGATAGTTGTTCTATGTTTTTTTTTTTCATTTTATTGGGTGAGGGCACGACATGTTTTCGAACTCACCCACTGCAAAGTGAAAAGTCACAGAATCATCATCATCATCACTGGCTTGAGTTCCACAATGTTGCTTGCCGATTGCGCCTTGCTAGACTGGCGACTATCCTTTGGGAAGGCAAGTGCCGCCTTTTCGTGTATTTTTTTTTTTTTTTTTTCGACCGCACTTGGCCATGTCCGCCATTTCACCTCCTGATATGTATCGATGCTGCATGCGTCGTGGTAAACAAAATATCCAGGTCTCTGTCTACAGCCTATATGAAGAAATGGTGAGTAGAAGTATTTGAAAAGAAAGTGCATATATAGGTATTTTAAAGGGGCAGTTTAGCACTTTCTGCGATAGTCTTTTTATGGCCATAACTCAGTTTATAGAATATAAGCAACGAAAACAAACTTTACATTCATGCGTGGCCGATTTCTCGATTAAAATTGGTATCAAAAGCTCGATTCCTTTGGAACCATCACTGACAACACATGGCGGCGTTGCACAGAAAAGGGTAGGGCTCCGCCCTCCTCGTCCGATGGCGCCATTTGGCATCAAACTTTTGATACCGATTTTAATAAATTGGCCACGCATAAATGTTACTTTTCGTGCGTGCGTGCGTGTGTGTGTGTGTGTGTGTGTGTGTGTGTGTGTGTGTGTGTGTTTTAGGGTGCTTTGCGCTTGTAGATTGTTATGAGCATGAATAGACTATCGCAGAAATTCAAAATACTCAAAGTATTTAGGTACCTATTACAAATACTTATATTTGAAATGGGTATGGGTAATACCTCTATCTTAAATATGTATGAGTAAGACTTCTATTTGAAATAGGTGTGGGTAATACTTCTATTTGAAATAGCTATGGGTAGTATTTGAAATACCGTCCATCCCTGAAAAGTGGATAGTCAAAGCCTAAAAGTCAAAGTTTTCATTTGGACTTCTAAGTATAAAAAGTGCAACTTCGTTAAATAAGCCCTCGTTACGCACGCGCTTGTAGTAATCGTACGAGCTCTTCCATTCGAAGGTACGGGCCGCCTAACCAACGCACCGGCACAGCTAAGCCCAGTTGGCTCGGTCGTTTTCCCGCGCGCTGGACTCGCTGCCATGACGTCACGGAGCGGGCGCGCAGGCCTTGAGTATATCAGAAGGTGTTGCTCCAGCCAGCGCTAAGCTGACAGTGCGGTGGGAGCTACGCCCTCGCCTGACCAATCAACCGCAGCTCTTCCATCTCCTGACCTCGGTTTTTGCGCGTGTGTGTGACAATGTGAGTGAGAGAGAGAAAGAGCGTGATCACGTGGCGAAAGATACGTGTATGACTGGTCCGACGAACACGCAGCCAACGCAGCTTCCATTGAGCTGTCAGCTTTGGGATGGACGTCCGTTGCGGCCCATCTTCAGTCGACTCGCAGTACAGTTAAAGGGGCCCATTCGCGGGCATCGGAAAGTCCAAAGGTAAACACTACAATTACCTCCAAATTCAAAGATGCGTAAAAGAAAGCGATCCACTTGCCTTATGCAACTAAAAAAAAAGAAAATATCGTCGCCGCACCAATAGCACACATCGGTTCGACAGGTTTACAATGTAAACGGGTGGGAAAGAAATGCGCGGAGGCCCTTTGTTGTTTCGACTAGCGGGGGCCCCCTTGGTGGCCGCCGTCTAAAGATAGACCCGTCGCGGGGGTCGGGGGGGTCTCTGCTGGCGAAGCAGGAAGGGCTTTCCCCGCCGTCCCCCGAGCCCGACGGGAGGGGGGTCGCGAACGGTTCTGGGAACCGCCGCCTGGAGAGGAGACGGCCCGCGGGCGCGCCGAGCCTCTAGAGAGCCTAGATTCGAGAGAGGCTTCAACATATACATCGTGGTCAGGCGGATTATGGGCCGCGTTCGGGGCCCAAGGCCCGAGGAGGAGGCGAACGCGACGGTCGTCTGCAAGCGAGGCAAACGAACGTCTCCCCGCAACGCGAAAACGGGCGCATGCGCACTGCGTGAGCGCTGTTTGAGTTATTCCCTCTCCGATATCTAGGCGCTCCGAGAAGCGCTCCACTGGCGCCCCCCGTGCCCGCCCGCCGCCCAGCCCGCCGCCGGCGAGGAGGGAGGGGTGCGCGAGGTTCGGCGGCGTCAGCAGTCGGTGCCTACGGTGGGACAGATAGCATGGCGCTCGGCGGGAAGACCGCGACTCTGCTGGCCCTGCTCGCGGCCGTCGCCTCGCTGGGCGTGGCGCAGTACGAGAGCCGAGGGAGCTGTTACGACCAGCACCGGCGGCCGCAGCGCTGCATCCCGGAGTTTGTGAACGCGGCGTTCAACGTGCGCGTGGAGGCGACCAACACGTGCGGCCTGCGGGGGCCGACCAAGTTCTGCCCGCAGACCGACGTGCCGGGCACGAGCAAGACGTGCGAGCTGTGCGACGCCGCCCGCCCCCACCTGGCCCACCCGCCGGACTACCTGACGGACTTCAACAACAACGACAACACCACCTGGTGGCAGAGCGAGACCATGCTCGACGGCATCCAGTACCCGAACCAGGTCAACCTCACGCTGGACCTCGGTGAGCGCCTTAACTTCCCTCGCGGGGCTTCCCTACGGAACTGTCACGCTGTTCTTCCGTCATTAAAAAGAACGGCTGGCCGTTCGCTGCAGGCACCATGACGGAACTATCCGAGGACGCGCCTCAAACATCTTGGTAGCATGTGCACTTAACAGATATGTTTGCTATGTCGGCAGACAGTCTTTGCATAGCAAATGGGACGCCCATAAAAGGAAGAAGCACGCCTCAGACGCTGTCCCTGGCACTACTTTTGTGGGATGTGACAGTTAAAGGGAGGACGCTTAGAGCGATTGCCGATGGAGGGGTTCTACAAAAAGTGTCCCTGATCGCGTCCCTAATTTCTCGTTGATGAGAGCTTTCATCTCCGCGCAAACGAGCTTCAAGCTTAAACGTGTCACGGATAACTATAGGATACGAGGGGAATTAGGGCGAACGAGATTTTTATTATGATTACTTTTCAAATTAGTTTGGTTGAACAGAATTTCAAGGCGCGAACGAGCTGGTGATGATTGAACATGATCAACTAAAAGCCTGAGACTACGAAGAAGGAGAGGAAGAACAGGAGTCTGTTCTTGTCCTCCTTCCTCGTCGTCTTTCTCTTTATAGTGTCAGGGTTTTAGTTCATCATGTTTAGCTGATCTGAAAAGTAATTGTTTCGTGGAAAAGTGGCGTCGTAAGTCGAAGCAATATAGCTGCAGTACCACTCCACATCTCGACTTCCAGTATTTATCCCGTCTTGTATGCCGTTCAAAACAACCTTTCTGCCATGTGAAAAGACGGTGAGAGTGCAGGCGAGCTGGTGGTAGCTAATCATGTCGTATTACACCTGAGACTGCGGTGGAAGAAATCGGAAGAACTTTCAGTAGAAGGAACAGACACAGAGAACGTCTCAAACTCAGCTCAAGTGAGTTGAGACGCTGAGTTTGAGACGTTCTCTGTGTCTGTTCCTTCTACTGAAAATTCTTCCAATTTCTTCCACCGCAGTCTCAGGTGTAATACGACATGATTTTCTGCCATTCTCGTGTTAAGTGTAATATCGCAATGGCAGTACATTATTTCCTCGTTTCAAAGAACGGATACAGGTTGTGTGAAACTAATCCGACCATAAGATTATCAATCGAATCAGTGTCGTCGAGACCTCCGGAGTCCAGTGTCGTCTTCTTTGCAAAACGATGGAGACAATTACTCAATTTCTAAGTGAGAGATAAAAAAAAGGAAATAAACTGTTCCTCTCGACCTGCACCACCTGACGGTATAACAGGTTTGATCCAATATAATATAAAAAATGAGGGCCGTAATTGACCAAACGTTTCTTTAGTCCTTAAAGCCAATTAAAAAGAAAAACAGGGAGACAGCTGAACATTGGCATTGGAACGAACTTGGAGAATCTTGCGAGCAATTATGAGTATTTGTGTTTCGTTTTTTTTCTTTTGGTATTAAGTTATTAATTGTTGTTCCGCTTGGTCCTGCCTCTTGTCTTCTGTGTTCTTGACGACGAGGAAGTTGTCTTCTTTAAAATTTTCGTACTGGAATATATAAGAAAATGGATTGGAAAGAATGTTAAAATTTTATTCTCTTTTAATGATTTTATTTTAAAATTAGTTATGTATTTCTACGTATCTTGGCGTTCTCATGTATGTTTTCATTTTATTTCTTATTTGTCTGTCGCCTTAATTATTTTTTGAGGGGGGGGGGGAGGAGGGAGCAGAGAGCATTGTAATTTTTCGTTGTTATGATGGAGAACGGAATGATGGAAACGGAATGATGGAAACGGAATGATGGAAACGATGGAGACAGATGGAAAGGAACGTACTGTTCTCGTTCCACTTCGAAAGGGTCTTTTGTGGGCACCTGTAGGTTGTTTTCACATGACGTCAATCCGCCATTTTGTTGTTAGATTGTTTTTTCAAACAAATTTACTACATTGAAGGACTACATCGTGACCGGTTGAGATGATGTCAGCAATGCTCTACGGATTTGAGGGGGCATGTAAATCCTTGTAATGCTCGAGTTTGGCACACGCCAGGCAGCTCACAACAACAAAATGGTGGCCGAAATTACGTCAGTGAAAACACCCTATACTCGTATCAGTGTATATGTAATAAAAAGAAAAAGAAGATGCCTCTTCTTGCACATCACCATAAAGTGATTCGTTTGTCCGTTCTTACGTCACCTCTTTTACCATTCACCTTCCAAAACAGATACTGTCCAACTGCCACCATGTATTCCTCGCGCATGGACAACTCATGCACACTCAATCTCACTATTCCTAGAGGTAACGTCTTCAAAATCTCTCCACTGCAGTTATTTATGTATTATTTATTAATACTACCACTTTCATTTAGAACTTTAGAAGGGTGGTTAAGAATTTATGAAACTCGTACGTTGGTTGGTGGTGCAATGTATGAGAACAATCTATAAGCAGCGGCGTACCTAATGCTGTGGTATACGCCACTGCTTATTTGTTCTAAATTGTTCTAGAGAATCGGGGCCTGAAGCTGTATGTTCATTGACAGGAAATGCGTGCCCAACCGACAGATGTCAGAAAACTAAGTCAGCCCTAAGAAGGCATACAGCTGTCGGGGAATTGTGGGGAAAACACTGCGAGAGTGGAACTAACTCAATACATGTTGCTTCATATTGCATGCTTTTATGGCCTCCTAAATGCACGGAAGAGGGTAATCAAACTTTGTGGTGAATTGGTAATTATGTCACTATTATATTCACGCACAAAGTACGCCTACAAATGAGAGCGAAAAAAGCTTATTTTCGTAGATTTGCAGGTCTATTTGCACAATAACGGGCCGTATTGTCATCATTATTGAGGAAGTGAAGTTTCTGGTTTTCCGTCAAGGGCTTTTGGTAAGAGAATTGGCGGAAACCGCGAAAAGAATATGGGAAATTTGAAAATTCGTTATGGTGAACCCCATCGTCGAACATGGATTAAAAAAAAAAAAAAGATCGCATATCTTACTCTTACGGTTAAGACTGGGAGGCACACAATATGCAACTTAATTGTTTCGATCTGCGCTGGGTATTTATTTACGAGCTTTTCAGGGCTCTGAAGTCACGCTAAATTCCGCTAGATTTAGAGGAAAGCGTTCCCACGCAAAATGTATACAGTAAATTGAGTTGATCTGTTATTGTGCAATTTAGGTTTTCCCGCTAAATTTAGCGGGAAAATTACGTGTTACACTAATGAGTCCCTAGCCTCCAACACAATCTGCGTAATAAAATTATTGCGAACATAAAACTATGACGTCAATCAGCTTTTTCTTGAAGCCAAAGGAACTTGAACGTAGGAAGCGACAGTGCTTGGATCATCCGTCATGTTCGATTCCTCTGCCCCAGCGGCCAGAGATTCTTTTTCCTCGAAAGGACGTCACCCTCTGCACTCGTAATCAGTCTCGAGAAGTCGGACAAGTGATTTTCTCCCTCGTATTAACCTTGTCAATCTCAGCTACCTCCGTCGGCAGGTATCTGCTTCTCACCCTTCGAATGAAGTAGCTGATCGGTGATCATTGACCCCTGGGTGAAGGTGTGGTCAAAGTCACGTCAAGCGCGACACACAACACGTTCGGACAAGTTCGCACGCAATCAGTGAGAAAGTAACCCATACGAGATCGACTGGAGAACACTCTGCAGTTATCTAATCGCTGTTCATTGAAACATTCAGAGGGCGTGTGATAAAGTGCGCTCCCTCCTAGGTGGACACCTGCTATCTCAGGCATTTAAAGATAGTCAAGGTGTGTCTATTACAAAACTGCCGCGAACCTTTTTTTTTTTTTTTTTTTTGTTCTTGTATTTGAGGTTTGAGCATCGAAACATGAAGTCTGAAAATTTTGGAACTATGTGGTTATCAAACTGAGAACGTCGGTCATTTTTAGAACCTCCGGACCTCAATTACGTTGAGGAGTTCAAAAATTGTTGGACATTTTAAACTGTTTTACTAAACATTCCATTAATTTTGAGTTCACAAGTTAAACTAGCTTCGATCTACATCCAGGATTTCATATACGATTTCAAGAGGAACCAAATTCTGCTTGTCTTCCTTCCAAAACCCTAACTACGTGATTTCCCATTCCAACCCGATATCGTTTCATGACTCCTTTAATATTTGCTACAGTTGTTTGATATCTACGAAACAAAGCAGTAAGACAGCCGTGGCATCTTACCCGACTGATTGGAACTGCTCTTGCGACTAGGCCAGTCGTACATTTTGCGGTACCGCGCTACGAGCTTTCACACCGTGGCCATGCGGCCATGCGGCTGACCACAAGTGCTGCCATCATGCTCGAGTCGGTAGTTTCGGATTCACCGTAGACCCCCGAAACAAAACTTTGAGAGGAGATATCTTGTATAAAACTACACGAGGCATCGGTAAATAAATGGTACCGCGTAATTCGGGGACGCTTATTTGCCTAAAAACAGTCGTAACCCTAAGATTGTTCTTCATTGTCCCCGATTGGCCTGAAAAATTGCTAATCACACCAACGAACATTGCTGAAATAGTATCCCAAATGTTAGATTAGAATATATGTATATATATTGTTGAGTTTACAGTTTTTGTTCTCACAGGAGGGTGCACACTTTGAACTTTGGGCCCAACTGATTGCAAGCATGCTTCATGGTGCCAAACTAACGTTTGGGAAGCTGGATCCAGGAACAGATTCTTGGCATAATCTACTTTTTAGACTACTTGCTCGACTGGCAAGCCTACCTTCCACTGACGTAACGGCACCGCAAAGTGCGGGTGTATCTGATTGTGGGCTTTTGCAGCATTTTAATGTGCCGATTTCACAATAACTACTATGAACTTCGCGATACTAAATAGCATACCGAAAAGGATAAATGCCAGGGATTCAGAAAATATAGTTCGTTCGGGTAGCTCAAGAAATCGCCCGAGGAGATAGACGGGCAAAAAATAAAATAGGAATTGTGTTTGGAGAGTTGTCCGATCTCTCCCTGGATATTTTTCTGCATCCCAAAAAGGTCTCAAC